TGGAGTAATATTATATTAGAACAACAAAGTTTTTCATAAAGAATTGCAAATATTTACGAACTGTATACAATTTTTGCGTCGTGACAATAAAATCTGTTAATACTACATACTTGTTTAATTTAACGATGCCGTCTGGGGATTAAAATCTTAATATTTTATTGGTTACTATAGTCATTGGTTAATTGTATATTTTATATTGATCTATATATGCTGCTGGTCTAACAGTTACATAGTTAGTTATAAAATTTATAAAAGAAAATGAAAATATATTGATTGACATCCTATAACCAGTGTAAACTGACTTATGTCTGTAGAGTATTCGCAGACGCAGTATAGCGTGGGAGCGGGTCTAGGAGCGGCCTCCAGTGAAAGTGAGCCGGCGCAATATCCACTGTGTCTCAACATCGCTCGGTAACATGATGTAGCATATGGACACTTGCTGCGCGACGTGCGACCGCTGTATATTGAGAATATTAAAATTATACTTTAGTATGTATTAAACATTTGGTATATTATTTATCTAATCTTTCTTCATTAGAAAATATAGAAATATTAAAAAGATGATATCACAATATAATAAGAGCTACTAAAATAACATTTTTTTGTAAAAGTTAATGAGTGTTTTCAACACGATAAAGGAAAAACTTTACTGACATTCCATAAATCTGATTGTATTCAATGTTTGCAGCGTCGTTTTATCAAGTGGTTATACTAACAGGAAGGGTTTGTCACTGTCAAGCGGCGTGTCACACTCGCGACACAGAAGACCCTCTTGTATGACCAACGTGACACCTTCATACGTGTCGCTGATGGCGTGACACGCGACGTCCTTGATGGGAGGGCGGGCTTTGTTCTGAAAATAATATATTATTATATAATTGCAGTTTGTTCATTGTAGATAAATTAGTAGCAGTATATACAAGTAGCAGTAGAGTTATATGACGTACATACCTTGGGCAGGTTAATCAAGTGCTCAGTAGAACACAGAGGTAGAACCTCCTCGAACGGGTTGTGGTCTCGAATCTGATGCTCTTTCAGTTGACCTGAAAAATATTATACGTATTAATGTGTGTATTTTATTGTAAATGAAACTAATATTTTTCGGATATACTACGCGACTTGATTTCTGATAAAAACTATATACTCCCGACGTTTCGGCTACTTTTCAGCAACCGTGATCACGGGCAGAAGAGATGTGAGCGTTTATTTTTATTGTACAAGTGATAATACATATATTGCATAAATTTATAAAATCTGAATGGAAGAAATTCAAAGATTTAATGGTCATTTATTTTTAAATTGTTACCTACAGATAGAATCCAAAACGATCGGTAGAACTATTTGTCTTTCTATTAAATAAAATAATATATTAACCCATATCAAAAAGACACTATAAAGATATAATAAATCAATCTGGTCTCACTCGTATGTCGCATAGTGTCTTCTAGTAGAAGTAGCCACTGTTCGACATTTGAAGTAGGGTAAAATTTGTACTTCAACTTCACGATTACACCTTCACTTGAATGCATTTGAGTTATCTTTAGATCCGGTTCAAATGTTACCTGACGGTATTATATACAAAAATTAAGAAACATTATATTAAAACTAATTATTTCTGCTCACAAACATACTATATATGAATGTTATAATTATTATAACTAAATTATTTATTACCAGAAGTAGAAATATTTGCATTACTATAAAAGAAATTTGATGCACAAAGGATATCATTCTCTTAAAAAGTGATGAATGTGGTGTAGGTATAATAAAAAGGAAGAAAGGAAAAAATTAAAATTATATCTATAAGCATACAAACAAAATTCCATTACAAAAATTATAACAGTTAATTAAGATATTATACATATATAGATATACACATAAATGTACACATAAATATGTACTTACTATATGTATAATAAATAAACAAATACATTACATATCAGAAGACAGATATAATTAAGTACCTTAGCAATATTCTCGAAGCATTTTCTAAGATGGGGTTGCACTGCTCTTGGGTTGCGAGATTGGGATAATATTTCTAGCAATTCATCATCACTAAGGAAGAAGAATCTCGGGAACCGTACTCGTTTAAGTTCCATATATTATTCATTCAGACCTCGTGATACAACAGCCAGTAAATGACGAGCTTCAACCAAGCTGTCTAGAAGACGACTATCCGGACATATAATCATTATCTATAAACAAAATAAATATATTATCATTAGTTATAAAACTAAGGCTACATTTACACATGCTTTAAATAAGCATGCCTTTTTTTTAAGCAACACTTGAACACATATGCTAGTAAACAGCACGTGCTTAATTAAAGCATGCTTTATGCTTGAAATAAGCATGTGTAACAGTTGCCTTATATTTAAAACATTTCACATGTTAGAATATTAACAAGCATTTAAAAAATACTATTAATATTTAAACTGTGCTACACGTGACTAAATATCGTGTGTATAAAGTTTAAAACTCGTTTGAAAGTTTGCCAAATACAGTTAGGAAAATAAACCTGTGGACATGCTGCTGCCGATGACATAATTCGTCTCCATGCCGTGCCGTACTTTTTAGCTTCAAGCGGTAATTGTCGTGATATATCTTCAGACGTAAATATTGGTTCTCAATACATCCACTCCCTTTATATAATAATATAGATTATGGTACACAACGTATGCAATATAATAATATATATAAAGAAATACTTTAAAACATACTTTTGACGTTCAATTCATTTGTCAACACCTTTTTTTTAAGCCGAAGCTTATCATCCCATTCCTGTATTCGTAGCTCAAACGCTGCTTTGAAAGGACTGAATCCTAATTGTTGTGTAGTTAAGGTTTTCATCCAATAATTGGAGAGTTTCATCAGCAATCTTCATTATAAACGTGCCTGTAAATTAGATTATAGACGCTTGATAAATATTTAAATAAGCCGTTACTTTATTAATTCTCAACTGCAGTGCTACACAGTTCTGCTTAGAAATAATTTAGAACAATTTATTTAAATACCTATCTTAGAAATTAGTCCAACACAAATTAATGACAAGCAATAATGACACGAGGCTATATATATTTCTAATGTTCTACCAGTGTTTTTATATGGAGACACTTCCATCGTCTTGGCCGCCCAGTCGTTAAGCATTTTATCGAGTGCCTGTTCTATCACGTACTCCTTGCTGGCTAGTTCACCAATTTCAGCTATCAATTCAGCATGTTGAGCCACTCCTTACTTCAGACACATTGCAAACGTCTGTTTCTCGTTCATTGTTACAGAAATACCTATATTTCAATATTCATATTATTTAAACAATAATCATCTTCGTTCAAAATTTTATTTGACTTCAACCAGTAATTTTATATATTTCATATTTTCATGAAAAATATACCATATTAGTTAGAATATCATAAAAAGAAGTCAATCATAGGTTCTGGTGCTTCTAGCTAGTATGTAAAATATATCATTTAAACCAATAAAATGGTGTTACTTTTAATAACTATAGCTTTATTTCAACAGAATTAGCGAATTTTTTTAACGAAGATAATTTCTATTGCTTTAAAAAAAGCTAGGAGACGAAACGTTACAAAATTACTTATGTATGAATTTTACATACCAGCTTTTTCCTTGAACTCATTCCAGCGTCGTTCTTTCATTCCAGGATTCCTAACAGCCTGCATGTCTGGTATCAACGGTTTAAACTCTTCCATATCATCCTGTTAACAAAGGTATAATAATACTGTAGTAATATTGTTAATAAAGTCACTAAACACATTGAAATAAGAAGTCTATCAATAAAATATATATGTATATCGATATTGTGTTAAAATAATAAAAAATTAAAATCATACCGAGTCAATCTTCACCCGAAGTTTGTCAAAGAGTTAAACGCAGCGGTGACAGTGTTTTACGAAACTTTTTCACTGAAATTATGTATAGTCAATCTAGCGTCCACATCAAATTACACAAACACATGGTTACTAATGTCTTATTTCACAATTTATAGTTCTGATTACAAATGAATATCGATAACACTTTATTAATACAGTCCTTAAAAAAGCGAACTGACTTAAAATGCATTAGTTAGTCCATATATTACATAGTATTGTTTTTATCCTATCACAAATAAATTACATCTACCCTCACGATATTTGCTAATGAAAATTATCCACATAACTATTTTCATTCAAAATGTTCAATAAATTTTAACATTTTCAATAAAGCAATTTTCGAACCATTTAACATTAATAAGTCACTCAAAATAAATTTAAAATAAATATCTAATATACTAATAATTAATTAATTTATGAGAGCTGGCAACATTTCATGACGATTCTACCTTATTTAAGAAATATACCAAAGTTTTTACATGCTTTAGGTCTTTCTTTTAGAAACAATGATTAATTATGAACATATTAAAAAATAAAAACGAAATTATGGTTCACGTAATAAATAACAGAGAGATACATGAATGCCTCTCTGTAAAATAAAAAGAGGAATAGGAGATGTTTAACTGGATAGTTAATAGTAAAATAGATCTAAGTTATAAATCAAGAAAGCAAATTGCTTTCCAAAGTCCAATGAAAGAAGTTAATTTATTATATTAGATATATACACAGTATTTATTGTTTTTAGTCCAATCGAAAAATGTTAATTTTAATGTTGTACTGTTGAATTGTTTGAACACTATTTAAAATCAGTTTATGTATACAATTTAGGACCTAAACATCATATACGTACTTTGGAAGTAAATTTAAACGACTGCCCGGAGAGTCGGGCTGACTCTGGAAAGACAGATGACTGCCGGAAAGACGGATGACTGCCGGAAAGACGGATGACTGCTGGAAAGACAGCCGAGGGCAACGGCCTAGCAAGCCCAGCCCGGGATTTATTAAGCTAAAAGTCCTAAAAAGAAAAATACCCCTGGGACAGTCCGAGAGGGGGGGCGGAAGATCTGTCCACCGGTCGATTTAAACGGCGAAAACGGCGCGAATACGGACTTGAAATGCCCTACGTGCGGGAAAAATTACAAGAGACGAGCCTGGTACATTAAACACCTAAAAACACATAAGGGTGTTGAAGCACGACAATCGTTGGTAAGTTCTTCAATTATCACTTCGGATAGAGTTGACCCTCACGTATCCCATGGTGAACCATTAACTGGAAACCACCAGGAGTCCATTAACATCCGGACACGTCTTAGCATTCCTAACATGAAACAATCGACTTGGAAAGTTCACGACGACAATTTAGCGGTCCTGTTAGAGCATCCGGGCTCGAAGCAGGAATTGAACTCGCAGGTAGAAACTTTCCAAAATACCGTTTATGACTACTTCAACGAGCAATATCCACCACGTAATCATTACGCTCGCAAAAATAAAGAAAATTCGTTCAAGATAAAAATGAGGAAGAAAAAACGGGAATTAATAAAAAATCTACGTATAGCCAAAGCTCTAGGCGACAACCACCTTAGTCATCAGCTAGCTAGGGCGTTAAGATCAATCCTTAAATTAATTCAACGAATATCGGCACAAACTGCAGAATATCGCGGTAATTTTGACCGGGCCAAACAGGAAGTAGATTTTTATAAAAACCCTTTTGAGTATTCGAAAACCATTTTTAAGAAAGAACGCGGACAGCTTCTCTTGACCAACGATCAAATTTACGACCATTTCAAGAGCACATACGAAGTGCCTAAAAGTGTAAGGCTCTATACGGATCCAAACGAACAAAAACCGGAAATTCCTCATATCGATTTTCACGGCATACCACCAACGTTAGACGAAATAAGTAGTCACATAAAGAGGAAATCATCTAAATCTGCACCGGGCCCCGATGGTATCCCATATATAGTCTTTAAAAAATGTCCATCGGTTCGTAAACACCTCCTAAATATATACGGCAAAATCTGGTCAAGGAAGCAAATCCCGGAGTGTTTCGGGAAAGCAATTTTTGTCCTCATTCCCAAAAAAGATCGAGTTACCGATCCGAAGGATACTAGACCGATAGCCTTAACAAATACAATATCTAAAATCTTTTTCTCGGTCCTACAAACGAGAATGACGCGATTCATGCTCAGCAACAAGTATTTTAGGCCAAATCACCAGAAAGGGTTTTTACCCGGGATTTCTGGATGCCTAGAACACAATACCTTGCTGTCGGAGAGTTTGAAAGATGCTAGAAAAAGCGAGCGGCAAATTACAGTTTGTTGGATAGACTTAGAGAACGCGTTCGGGTCGATACAACACGAGTTGATGCTATTCGCGCTTAGATGGTATAACTTTCCACCCTTAGTTAGCGATATGATTGCGTCGTATTACTCAAAATTAAAGTTTTCTATTATAACTAAAGAAGGCCCTTCAAAAAGTTTGAGTTACTATGTAGGACTATTCCAAGGGTGCTGTTTATTTCCAATAGTATTTAATATTATAATCAATATCCTAGTAGATAAACTTATCAGCAATGAGAAAAAATGGGGGTATCGGTTTAAGTTCAATAACAAATACACGGAATCCATTTTAGCCTTCGCTGACGATCTCGCAATACTGACACGTCTCCCCAAACACTGTCAAGTACTATTGGATGAAGTGGATAAATTCTGTGAGTGGACGGATGGATTGAGGACAAAACCAAGTAAATGTCACTGTCTGTGTCTTGGTAGGCGGAATACAAGATACACCTCATACGATCCGGGACTATCGATAGGCGGTCAATGCGTTTCTACGGTTACGGAAAATGCACCATTCAAGTTTCTCGGTCGTAAGATTGATAATATAGGTCGTACTCCATCTTTAGAAGGAATAGTAGATAGCTTTTTAAATGATCTCAACAAGGTAGATAGCCAGCAGATCAGTAACGTAAAAAAAGCATGGATCTACGATAATTACTTAACTTCACGTTTGAATTGGCCTTTCCTCGTCTATGATTTTAGTAAAACCCTTTTATCTAAATTAGATGCAGGCGTCATAAAGATGTTGAAGTTGTGGCTCGGGCTCGCGCCAACGGCTGACTCATCGGCTTTATTCAGGGATCGTAATAGTTTTGGGATGAATCTAAAAAGACCATCGGAGCTCTACAAACACCTAAGAGTTTCCAAGAGACATATCCTGGGAAAATCCCATGATGACGTCGTTACATCACTCCCAAAAGACAATGATGCCCCAGAGCTAGAGTCACGACTTCAATTCCATAAACAATTTATGATCGGAGCGCAAAATAACAGAGTAGGGTTAGGATCAAGTAGGAAAGTCCAAGATACGGATATATTGAAGTCTTTTATTCGGCAAGACGAGAACGATAAATACAAGATCCATGCAATGAGTTTAGAAATGCAGAACGAGTGGTTAGACATGGGAGATTTTTGCATTCCACTAGCACTAAAATGGCGCACCCTAATTCATGACTGGTCGCCAGCCTTGCTAAAATTTTATCTCAATGCGTTCCAGATGACTCTCCCAGATCAGAGTAATTTAGTAAGATGGGGTAAAGGTACCGAAAAAACTTGCTATATCTGCGGAAAGGCAGTTGGAACTGCCAAGCATTTGCTGGTGGGATGTAAGGTTCTCCTGGACAGCGGTCAATACTCGCGTCGTCACGATAGGGTTTTAGAGATCATACGTGAAGCGGTTAGTCTTTCGGTAGCCAGAGCGCAAAGGGAAATAACCACAAACGAGCGATCAATAGGTTTTGTGAGAGAGGGCACCAGGGCTATAAAATCAAACGTCAAGCCTTACTCTATCCTTAAAGCGGCTTCGGATTGGACTATCATGATGGATACGTATGAGAAACAATACAAAATCCCCGAGGATATTTGTGCGTCAGCCTCCAGACCAGACATATTTCTATATTCGCGTATTTTAAAGCGCGTTGTGATGATAGAGCTTACGGTGCCTTGGGAAACCAACATCCCCAAAGACCATGCCATCAAGGTCAATAAGTATTACGAGCTCACTAACGAACTAACTCGAAATAGGTTCGTCGTTGATTTGTACGCGGTAGAGGTGGGAGCGAGAGGTATAACAGCTAAATCTCTCTATAACCTACTAAAAGACTTGGGCCTGTCCAGAACTAACATTAATTCATTCTTAGAACGTACGTCGAAGGCAGCCCTAGTAGGTTCTTTTCAAATTTGGTTAGGTAGGGAGAGGAACTTGGACAGTGGAGGTGAGCGTATAACGCGCGTTAGTTAAGGGGCCCCTTAAACCTACACCTGGGTCGCAAGTCCCAGGCACTGTTGAAGCTCCTCTCCCTGCAACGCGATGGACCCGGCACCCGCACGGTGAATCCATTGAATGCTAAGAGGTTTCGTCTCTAGGTTATTTCAAATACAAGTTGTTATAAATAAAAAAAGTCTTTAATATTAAAGTTGTTTGAACTTTGAAGTATTATATGTATGTAGTATTGTTCTAAGGAAAAATATTAAATTGAATAACAAAAATAAAAATGAAACTTTCTGAAAACTATATCAATAAAACCGTAAAAAAATCTGCGTGTATTGATTTAATCTCAAAATTAAATTGCTTTTCCTTAGAAAGTTTTCAAAATATACAATGCAATATGAAAGAAGCAATGTATAATCAAAATTGTGCTTACAAGAACGTATTAAAAATATGGACACTGCTTATACGTTATCAATTTATCATTGATTTTTTATGAAATACGTGTTCCAGGAAGTATTTTTTGATATGATCGTGACAACTGATGCTTTTAAAGATGTGCGCTTGATATAATATGACAAATGTAAGAATTGAAAATAAATTGAACACTAAAGTTGTCAAACGTTGTTATATCGATAAATATAGTTGGATATAAACTGTCACTTGGGAAAAGGGAATAACAAATTAAAAAGTGAACTGTCCAAAATACTTTGTACTTTGATATTTAAAAAATGATTTTGAAGTGCTCCACAAAAGTCAGTCAAAGAATAGATTATTCAATCGAATATACAGGGTGACTGGTGAATTACTATCGATACTTGAGGACGTGATATTTGACGATCATATATGACAAAATAAAAATTAATATAACATAAATATTAATAAACTTCTAAGAAAAGTTAACCAAAAGTTTTGTAATTAATTACGCATCGTGTGAACACCCTACAGATTAGGTATACACACACACACACGCGCGTGCGGCGGCGTGGTGTTGTATCAGCACACCGCCGCACGCGTCCACACTACGAACACTTGGAACGTGTCCACACTTTATTTATTTATACGGAATTTTGGTCAAATATTAAGTACCTATTTTTTTTACATAATTCGAATGAGAATCATGTACCGAGTATTCTCCTTAAATATTGATAGTAATTCACCAGTCACCTGTATAAGAACCAATATAGAAATTGAAACAATTTTACGTGTATAAAATAAATATTCGTTATAGAATTTAAAAAAAGAATTACCTCCAAAGATCCTAAATGTTCACTTGTCTCTATAACCAAGGCTACAAAGTCGTCCAAGCATGTAGTAGCGCGGGGTAGCCCGTGTTAGCGATGCTGTCCTTACAAAATGTTCGAGCTTTGTTCAGCAGACTCGGAATCTTTGCCAGGAGACTGTTCACTTGTATTAATTGACAAGGCTGTTCGAGCTGGTATTCGTATTCCTGTAAAAGGGAATTCAATTATTAAAACATTATTGCGTAATGCGTATGTTGCATATTTATAACTGTAACTAATGTTTTTTTTTAAAGACAGAAAGAATGCAATTTTTTGCTAGCTAACTTTACAGCAAATAAAACAGAAGACAAGCGAAATCATTCATAACCACCCAATTCTTTTATAATTATTATATTTTAAGTGTAATAAAAATGACGTGTTTATATACCTTAATGTTCTGTTCAGTACTACATGGTTCTGAAGATCTATCATATACGCTCCGCCCGCGGCGTTGCTTGCAGTGCCAGCCCTCTTTGGTCAATCCCAAATACCCATGTGGTCGATAGACTCACTCGCCGCGTCCACGAGACAACTCGATACACTGTCCTTTAGAACTTTCTGTAGTCAATTTTCAAAGTAGGATATTTACTCACACTTCACAAACACATCAATTACATAAGATAATATAAGATGATAAAGTACACAATAATGGTTTATATTACAAACATTGACCTAGAAATTATCGAAGGAATTTATAAATAAAAAACATGGAGTCCCTCCGTACGGAAGAAGTGAAAAATAAAAAGTGGTATAAATATCAATTTATAGTGAACTCATATTGTTTCTTTAATACAAACTTAATAATAAATATTGCTTACAATTCACAATTGATCCATTCATTTACTATCGCTCCGTCTCTTTCTATTCCCCCTCCCCAGGAGCGTTGAACGTTTAAGGCAACCTTGTTGGAAGTAGCATTAGACTCTTCACTACAATAAATATATCAATATCGCTAACCTCAAACTCCTTGGTGTGTTTGTGTAAAGCTTTATGAGCCTTGTCTACTACGTCTACTACGTCTACGTCCTTCACACTCCAGTAGCTGAGGTCTCTGTCCCAGGTGCAGATTTTGAACATGTCCTTCAACTTCTTTTCTATGGGCGCACGCTTTTCTTTAATATGTGATGCCACTTGTGGAGCGAATTGACGATAGTAATTGCATGTATTCCACAACAATGATAGGAGTTCAACTAAAACAGAACATATATAGATAGAAGTAAATTATTGGATATTGCAGAAGACCCACAGTAGTTGCAGTATAAGATATAGATTAATAAACTGAACCTGACTAAACTTTTAGGAAATTAAGGTGATAAAAGTACGTATGTTTTTTTTTTTATGTAAAAGGTGGCAAACGAGCAGACGGCCCACTTGATGGTCAGTAGTGACCGTGGCCCATGGACATCCACAACATAGACGTTGCGGATGCGTTGCCAACCTTACTTGTGGAGGAAAAGGGGGGGTTGGGAATAAGGAAATATAAGGAAAGGTTGGGAACAGGGAAAGGGCAACCGGCTTTCTCACTCATCGGACGAAACGCAGTCATTATTGACTACTTCACGCCGATCTTCTGTGAGAGGGTGGTACTTCCCCGGTCGAGCCAGCCCATATTTGAGCTGTAGTAAGTAAACTACAGCTAGGCTCTACCACCTATAAATGTATGTAGTCCAAAAAATTTAAAAAGAGAATAAATTACACAGCACAACAAAATCAAACTTTTTTTTTTGTTGCATGAAGTTTTTCTACTGTTGTTTACTAATTTGGGTGCGCTAATTTTAAATCTGACCTCAGTTTTTTTGTAGCAGCTCTAGTTAGTCAGATACAGGTCCGTCTTGAATTTACATAAGTTGTCAATAGTTTCTACCAATAGCGGTGTAACTTAACTAGTCCCTTTATAAATTTCATTATGTCTTTCTCAAGAAGGACGTTTTTAAATAATCCTGAGGGTTTTTGTGCTATTTGCGGATAATATATGTTCCAAAAATGTCGTTTAAGTGTGTCAGACTTTGTAAAAAAGGCATACTTAGACTGCTTTGGGTTTCCGTTGCCATCAAACGCTAAACCTGTGATACCAATTTTGGTGTGTAAAAGTTGTGTTGAATCTTTGCAATTATAGGCAAGCAAAAAAAGACCAAATTTTAAGGACAAATCTCCCATGATGTGGCGTGAACCACCCAACCATCATGACGACTTTTATTTTTGTGTAACGAAAATCATAGGAATAAACCATAAAAATTGCCCTAAGTGGATATATTCAAACTAAAAATCTGTCGTAAGACCAGTCTTGAGTATTAGTGACACATCAACACCACAGCAGCCTTGTAGATCTTCGGAAATCCAGACCAGTGTAGCGGACAAACCGAAACGACGACAGTGGTAGAGACAATAGTCCCCGATCACTAAATAAAGATAGTCTAAATGACTTGATCAGGGACCTTGGCCTGCCTAAAAGTTGATAGATAATAAAAATTTCATCAACCATATGACAGCTATTGAGAAATGTGCATGGGAAGAGTTTGTTTGAGTAGTGAGAAATTTTTTGAGAATACCAAGTCTGACGGCTACATTCAGCATATTGAACAGTTGCTGATACACTTCCAGCGGCTTGGATGCAACATGAGTATTAAGCTTCACTATCTTCACAACCATCTAGACTATTTTCCTGAAAATCTAAGTGACCTAAGCGAGGAACAAGGAGAGCGCTTTCAACAGGATATTCGCGCTATGGAGAACACGTATCAGGGGTACTGGAAGGAATATGTGACGGCTGATTATTGTTGGAGCATTCAAAATAGTACTCTCACTCTAGAATATCCACAAAAAGGAAATTTTATTCCAAATAAATATATTTAATAATTTTTTAAACTTAAATTTTGTGCGTTTTTAATGAAAAACCCTGTCTCTTCATAACTCCAAAACTAGAGCTGCTACATAAAAACGGCATATATTTTTGAAATCAGCACGGAAAAACTATTCAGATTCATGTAAAAAATCTCATGCAACAGACATGCTGTTTTCCAGTGTTATCTATCTACCAAAAAGATATCAAGTGTAGTTATTTTTGTTGAAATCTAATAAATAAATAACTTACTATAAACTATTCACTATAATTATTACAGTCAAAACCGTTTATAACGACATCGTTTACAACGACCTATCGGTTATTACAGCCAGATTGTATGGTCCCGTCCGAATTGCTAGTAAACTATTCAGTATACAAACCGCTTATAACAACATCGGATACAGCGACATATCGCTTAGAACGACGAAAATTTATCGATATTAATCGATTTTAACGACCAACCGCTCCTTGTCCTTACCCAGTTGCAAAGATCTACTGCTTCAGAACAAAGAATTGAGATAGAGGAATTTATTGGAATAGATAACAGTGTCGCGTTAGCGCCTTAGCTACTGAGGAAGAGATTCTTGCAGAAGCTAAATGTAACAACCCTAACACTAACGAACAACACGAAGACCAACAAGACCTTGAAGAATAGTTTCAGCCAACAATAATTTCCGAGGCTCTTAATGATGTAACAGTTTTTTGCAAAAAAAATTCGAATTTAACGAACACTTTGATATTGATGATACTCATACCTTGAGTATGAAACGTAAAATGCTAAAAATATTAGAGACTGTGCTAAAAAAAATAATTCTAAAATGACTGATTACTTTAAGTTAGTGTAGTAACTAGTGTAGTTTTTTATAACCCGTAACTGTAAGCAGCCAAGTACATACATTTTGTATTCTAATTATTTCGTAATAAATATTTTTATTTCTTTTCTGAATCGTTTACATAACCTATATCTATACTAGATAGATATGTGACTACATATGACAATATGTATAACTACTGTAGTTGTGTATATGACTATTGCTTATAACGACTATCGGATATAACGTCGGATATATACGGTCCCTTCAATGTCGTTATAAACGGTTTTGACTGTATTTCTAAAGCTCTTTGTAACATATACATATTACTTAACCAATGAATCTCACCGCGTCTTTGACCGGCGTCCAGATGTATTAAGTGGCAGTGATACTCATAAACAATGTCCAATCTCACATCGAACTCCGCTAGATTGGACTTTTCCATGAAATCTTTCAACACGGACACGACCCGCGCCGATGACATATCAGTCTCCTCCAAGTAAGATGTTATCACCGCATACATATAGAACCAGTATTTATGAGCTTCGGCCTGTTGTCTGAAATGTTAATTAAGTATTATCCAAAACAGTTAAACTTTTAATACCTACTAAAAGTTATTGTTCAATAGAATAGTTTTATGACTATCTTATTCGTAAGTAGACCAAGTTGTAGTAAGAAAAAACATTATTATAGAGAAAGATTAATACTGGAATAATATTATATACTAAGATTATTTTGTAATGAGATAAGTAGTTCTTACTTCATAATATGCTAAAAGCCATTCAAATTTTGTGACGTCTAAGTCAAGAAATAACATAAATTTCACCTTTGATACAAGTTGTTAAGACCCTCCTTCCAATGAGTCATTTCCAGTTTCCTTCAGTTAATGATCTGTTGTCCTACATGTATATCCAGCCAGTGATATATCAATCATATTGTTCCCTTTGTGGGTGTTTTTGTTCCATTCTTCAATTTTATCTCTAAAGAGTTCCAAACCTGTCAGGAATCTCGACACTAGACTGGTAATCGGAAAACCGATTATTCTGTCTACTATTATTATAATCTAGAAAGATAAAAGATATACTAATAAATCATATATCATTTTGATATTGGAGATTCTAATACCAACGATATAAACGGGAGTCAATGGGAATGTATGAATATGTGTTGGTCTGTCACGTTTAATGTATTGAACGGATTATGAAGCTTTACAAAAATGTAGTTCGACTTCACATAACATTATTATCACTTCACTCGAAGTAGTTAACCAACACACAACACACGTATATAGTGTAGAATTTTAGTGACATAGACGATAGATGTCGCTGAAACCTCCTTAATATATCTATTATATGAGATAAACATTATGCAATTCGCTCTGAACTCAATACTGAAGAGAACACGGTATGAGTCACGAAAGGAAACTAGTATTACATAATTATACATACATCTTTCAAAGTCGGAAAGTCTGGCCATTGATCCAATAATTCATTTGTCGCTTCTTTGACTCTTTCTAGGAGAGGAAGACATTGCCTTGTTTCGGAAATCCAAGGTGACCGGTAGAAGTCAACTTTTGAACCTGTTCCACCTGATATATACGAAAAATTATAAGATTATTCAAAAATGTACTATAACTATGTTTTAACCTCGTATCGAATGATTATTAATTTAAAGTTTTCCATTTGAATTGAAATTTCGAACAGTTGTGTTAAAAAAAATAGCAATAAAATTACAAAGAAACGACATAGCACAATTTGGATACCCACTAATTCCATGGACTTTGTCTTTAATATGCGACACTAGCACCATTAAGCTTGGTAAAATAGTTCCTTCGAAAGTCACATCAATTCAGATAATCAGATTCAGGTCCTTTAATGACGTCACACTGTACATTATATGAGACAGTGAGCTTTGTAAGGGTTTCGCTAAGTCTGGGAAAGCATCAGAATAAGCGACAATTTTTTCGCTAAACGCATTAACAGAATGCAACCACGAGGTCGTTTCCGTTAACACTGTTTGGGCGTTTTGTAATTGGTTTTGTGTTTTCTCGTAGGTACCGCTTTGTATAATATCATACATTGTACCGCAAGTTGACAAAAGGTTGGTATACAGGGTCTTCACTGATTTATCAGATAGGACGGACTTTGTAAAGTGCTTGCAATCCTGTAAAGAAATCAATTTGTGATTAATAATTGCTATTATGTCATACACTTTTAAATTGACGTTTTATTGTAAGTATAGCGGATTAAAAAATCTATAAATTTAATTTCAATTGCGTAAAAAATGAAAAAAAAAGTTTTTTTCCTTTCAATTGTTATGTAAGGAATTACGCGTGACAAGTGGCAAGCCAGAAGTGAATTTTAAACGAAGGAATAGAGAGATTTGGTTACATTTGAGTTTTGCTTTAACATAACATTAACATAACTATAAATACAATAGGATGCGGCCAGAAACAAACCATTAAGTGTTTTATTCTTAAATTGTGTCTTAAAAACAACAGTTATTAAATTACATGAAAATCTAAAATAATCGTGTTTACGTATCTTTAACGTACGTCCTTATTTTTATGGATATAGTTAATTATGTAAGTTCACACCTTTATAAAACTGGTGTAGGACGGTTCCTTGGGACGGAACGTATTCCCTGAGGCGTAATTATGTTCCCTCAATGCGGTCTCCTCTTTGAGATTCATTATAATTTCGCAGTAGGGATGAACATTCTTCAGTTTTTCCCTATTATCTTGTTTAAAACAATCCACCGTCACGTCGGACGCCTTCTCTATGTTCCTATTCTCACTGATACCACCCGTTATTACCCCATGAAGGTAATACACGCTCAGTAATTTATTAAATATATCAACATCTTCCTCTATATATTTCACTTTGAGTCTGT